CGCTCGCCCCGCCTCCCCGAGGAGCCGGCTGTCAATCACGGGGGCCCCTTGCGCCGCGGAACAGCCACGCCCCCCACGCTGCAGGAGGCGGGGAAGAGCAGAGCGCCACGCCCCCACCACTGTCAATCAAAGTGACGGATGGCAGCGCGGCCCCGCCCACCGGCCGGGAGCGGGAGCGGGTCTGGGAAGAGCAGAAAGGGAAAATGGAGTTTTGTCCCTCTGCCTGTGCTGTATCTGCAGTAAAACACCTCTGGGAGTCAATGCACAGGGCGCATAAGAAGAAATGTTCCCTTAAAATTAACTAATTATAATAAAAAATTATGCTAGGTTGTGTCTGATGCAACTGCTGGGTAACTCCGTTCACACTCCACCGTGTGCTGCTGAGATCATCCCATCCAAGCCAGAATTCTACTCTCAATCGTGATTGCTTGGGCTTGGAAGGGACCTTAAAGATCATCTCATTCCATGCTCTGCCACGGGGTGTGTTTAGATCAAATCAAACCTTTAAAAGCAACATGGAGCCGGCTCTTTCCCGGCTTCTGTGTCCCTTGCATCTGCAGGATGGTATTTTCATCGTGTCTCTTCCACATAAGGAACAGCAGAAGGGGTTTGTTATTTAAAAAGGAGCCCATCTCCAGTTCCCTGCCGTGGCCAGGGCCACCCTGCTGCTGGGAAACACACCTCGAGCAGATGTTTCAGCTGCTGCTTTTCAGTCTGGCCAATGTCTGGCAGCAAGTTCGGTGTTCTGGGAGTGGCTTTTTACTGATTTTGGAACCACTTTTTGTCAGACTTTTCACAGCTTCACGATGGCTCATCACTATTGTTTATCAACCACTAAATCTCAGTTTCCTCACTAATTTCCAATAAAACACTCTTGGTATCCTCCACAGACTTCTCCTTGTCCATAAATTTACATCCTTGTACTCTCTCCCTGCTACATTTCATCTCATCTCTATTTCTCACTCTTCAGTCATCCAATCTCCAAGATACTCCAGTTCCCTCATGTTATTGAAGCCTCCCACTTTTGTTCATCACCAAATTTGATTTTAATGCTCGCTCTTTTTGCCAGGATCGTCATAAAAAGGCTTTTCTAGGAGAGGGAAGAGCCCATGCCATGCCCTGGCAGAAATTTAGTATCAATTCCCCACTGCACCAGCCCTGATTTCAAACCATTCCATCATCACCTCACCATTTGTTATTTTTGCCTATCTTGCAGTTCCTACATGTTTGCATACAAAATTCTCAGTTGAAATCCTGCTAAATGAGAATGATTCCATGTCCTTTGTGTAGAAACTCCGTTTACTGAGTCCCAAAGATATTAGACCGGTGAGTGGCAGCTTGTGACAGGAGCCAGGAGCTCCTGGCAGATGGTAGGAGACACCCACCCTGGTGGAACTCGCTCTTCCCTTCCCCAACTGCCCAGGGTGTCTGGATTTCACTGAAGCTTTCCCCCACCCCTTTCCCAAACTGAAAATAGAATGATTTGTCCTTAACAGCTCATCACTTCACCCACCTGTCAAGTCTAATGTGTAAACCAACAGTTTTATCTCTTGATTTGTGGTTTCCCCATTTTACAGACATTCTCACATCACTATCTACATGCAAGTGCCATCAGGACTTTTTTTGACCACTACAGACCCTTGCACCTTTTTTTTTTTCCCCCCCAACAAGCTGGTAAGTCCTTCCTGAACTGGAATCCAATTGCTACCAAAATAAGTGCCCCATTTTTGTGTAACTTGAGAAAAAAAAAAAAAGAATAATTCCTTTCTGACTTATTCTGAGTACTTAATACTGTACTGGTATTGTGCATAAACACAGAATCTCAGAATTATTTGGGTTGGAAGGACCTTAAAGCCCACCCAGAGCCACCCTAGCCATGGCAGGGACAGCTCCCACTGTCCCAGGCTGCTCCAGCCCCAATGTCCAGCCTGGCCTTGGGCACTGCCAGGGATCCAGGGGCAGCCCCAGCTGCTCTGGGCACCTGTGCCAGGGCCTGCCCACCCTGCCAGGGAACAATTCCTGCCCAATATCCCATCTAATCCTTCTCTCTATCAGCCTGAACCCAGTTCTCCTTGTCCAGCCATTCCAATTCCTGATGATGATCAGGTTATTTGTTTTACACCAGCTGATACTCTGTGGTTTTCCACACTGATTGCCAACATCCTTCCAAAGCTGCAGCTTCTCAGCAGAGAAACTTCACTCCTGCAAACAGCAACTGCAGAACATACTTAATTCTTGAATTTATTCAGATTAGCTGATGCCATTTAATGTAAAATGATCAGTAAAGATACTGATAGAGACTCTCCAGGAGTTACTATGTTTCCAGTCAAGCCATTTGTTGTTATAAGGCCTGTCACGTAGCGTCAAATAAGAAAAGGAAGTGTAATCCCTATTTTAGGGACTTAAGGGCATCACAGAGAGAGAGATAGTGACTTGTTAAAAGTTACACAGGAAGTCTGGAGAGGACTTTTGGGATTTAACTCCTGGCATCTTTTCCTAGTATCTTAATCACTATGCCATCATCTTGTTTTCTATTTTGGTAGTATTTCCATTTTCTGAAGCATACCTTACTCAAAGAGCCCCTTTTCCTTGCTATCAGATGTACTATTTCTTTTTTCCTTCCTGCTTCCCTTCTTGTTTAGGTAGACACATCCTCCCTGGGGAGCAGAGCAGGCTCCAGGCTGAGCCTTGTCTCATGCCAAAACTTCCTTATTCTACATCTTGGACCTCACAGCCACAGAAGGGTGTGAGGAGGAGAAACCCTGTAAACAGAAGCAGAGAATCCTTGAATGGTTTGGGTTGGAAGGACCTTGAAGCTCGTACGTGCCATCCCCTGCCATGGCAGGGACACCTCCCACTGTCCCAGGCTGCTCCAAGCCCTGTCCAGCCTGGCCTTGGGCACTGCCAAGGATGGGGTATCCAGTTTTCAGAGGATGCATTGAAAGGGTTCTACACTGTCTTCTGCCGATGTAAGAGTAAGTAATCTCACTAATTGCACCAATCCAAAAATTTCTTGTTGCGTTCTCAGCTTTGAAAACAAAGGGAATTCAACACTATCATTATTATCCACCTCTAGGACAGCATGGCAGGATACATATAGGCCCAAATGTATCTCTCCCCCAGCAGAAGACATGAATCATGTGAAACTCCTGCAAAACACGCCTGCAACAGCCTTTCTCAGCTGGGAGGAGCAGCTGTGCCCCCGTGCCCGTCCTGCTGCCGAGGGCTGGGCCCGGCTGCCAACAGCAACCCAGCAGAGGGAGCTCTGAAGCCGGGTAAAAACCAGATCTGCTCTGCCTTTGGAATGGCAAAATTACAGAAGGAAGGGGTGGAAGAACGTTAAAAATATTATGTGCTTTTAGATCATTACTTCCTCTGAGCTGACAGTCTGGACTGTTTCTAGAACAGCATGAATGAGAAAGCTCAAAATTAAATGCTTCTTCCAGTCAGATTATTCTCCCAGAATAATCTCAGAGACCACTTTTTCTCTACAGCTATTGCTGTGCATTGTGTCACCATGGAGGTTTTCTTTCAAGTATTTTCAAGCCATTTACTGATTGCTGATTAATTATGTGCTTTTCATTTACAGCTGGTCACAGAGCACAACAGCTGTGCCAGATGTTGGCTGTTCCATAATATTTACGAAAGGCAGAACTCCGCTTGTCTTTTTTTCTACCTATGTTCCTCTACAGCATTTTATGGCACTTGTTTTGCCACACTGACAGGCAACCTGCTTCGCCCATTACCCACCATCCACAACTTTTTGCACCGCTCCAATTTGCACAAGCTGCCTCCTTCCACTGTAGAGGTACCTCAGAAAGTTTCTCTGGGGCAAAGCACAGATCCAGGGGGAAAAACAATCTATGAGGATGCAAATACATTTCAAGGGTAAAAGACAAACAATTCTTAGAAAACAGGTATTTTTTCTGAGCAGGGGTTACTAACACAAACTCCATATATAGCTTAAAAACCACTGCAGCATCTTTGCAGGCAACTCCACTGCATCATGAAGCTTAATAAGCTTTTATTTCAAAGCCAGTACACAAAGAATTAGAAAGAAATCCAGCTGTTTAGTTGAAATAGATTTAATCTAAATACTTAAGAAGTCATCGGTCCTGCTTGCCAAGGCCTAAGGTACAAATTTCCAAGCTCTTCCACTCTATTCCCATCTTGGTCCCAGTTCCAGACACAACAGCAGTGACCAAGCGTGTGGAAAAAGCACCCTTTAAGAGAGGTTACCCTACCCAGGAGAGACTTAAAGCTACAGAAGTACCCGATTGCTTTATTTTCACTTTGCCTGTATTCAAAACCCCTCAGAGACTAATTATTTGAATTCTAAAAAAAATCCCTTTTCCCCTTATCTTAAAAACAAAACCACAGAGCAGATAATTCCCATTTGTTGCAGGGGACAAGCAAAGCATTGGAAAACATGAACAGAAACAACACTGGAATACAGGGACCCCACAGCAAGCTTTTTAAGAAACCAAATATTTAATGTACAGCTGCTTTAACCATTCTGTTGGAGTTATGTCATGACTGGGCTCCTAATAATGTAATTATCTGGGGAAACTTGAGTAGGTGGAATTATTAAGTTTGTTTGGGTATTTGTAGGATGACGGATCAATAAACTTCACCAACTTTGAAGAGACAAGGCAAAGCAATCTTCTCTTACAGCAACAAACTCCACACAGAAGAAATGAAGCTCATTTGTAGCTCCCTGCTCCCCCCCAGGTTTCCACTCATCACACAGTGAACTGCAGTCAATCTACAAATGTTCCGTTTTTATTACAAAGTATGAAAGGCAGAAAATACTGTACCTAATACACAGGAGGCCGAAACTTAGAAAGAAGGTTAAAAAATCTGAATAAAACTACATAGGAAGCAGGAAATAGCATAAAAGGATGCAACATTCCACTTTTAAGCGAGTTCAGAAAATTGCCTTAAAATTTACAGAGTTTCAACAATATGGTTCCATGACTCAGGTGTTAAAATCCATTGTAACAAATCCTTTTAAATTTTCTCCATAAAAATAAAGGAATATAGGGACACTGCAGTTATCCATGTCAACAATATGTGTCTGTTGAATAGCAGGATACTGGGATTCCTCTAGGACAGAAGTTGCAGGTGGAGAAAAGGACAGAAGTAAAATTACTATTGCTTTAACATACTCTAGTGAGAACAAGAAGTCAGGAATCTCATATGGATGTTTGTACAATCATGCTACAAAGATTACACCTTCAGAAAATTACCACAATGGGACTGTGAATGGGAAGAGCAGAAGGGAAAACACACCTAAAAGTAGTATCTCCTACTTGGCTACTGGTAACAAAAATGCTTCGGCGCAACAGATTTAAATTACACTTTACATTGCTAGCAACCCAAGGGTTAAAAAAATTCCTTTTTAAATAGTAGATTTCATAATTCCTATTTCCCAAGTTGTCAAAAAAAGCAACATACCTTTTTCCAGCTGCACTGGGACTCTGCCCTGCCCTGGTTCTTGCCTTTCTGCCTTGCTAAGATCCCACAGACCCATCCTCAGGACTAAGAGGGGGCTGGAGTTGCACATGTTGGACATGGAAAGCAAACTCCAAAGGATGGGAACTGGACCATGGGTTTACAGCTGTACATGGCCACAATATCTTGTCAGGAAATAGCTCTTTTTCTTATCTTTGTTAGATTTCCTGAAAAGAAACAAATTAGATGGAAGCCACCGAGATAATTTTAATTATTTTTATGTCTATTGAAATTCTTGCTTGCTGCTGAGTTATCAGAGGCTGCACAAAAGGCTACCGAGGTCCTTGGCAGACACAGTTGTCACTTGAAACAGGCAGCAGCAACTCTCACAAGTGCCTTTGCATCCTGGTGTCTGCCATGAATCACCAGATGAGCCTTCAGTGACTGGTATTTATCTGCATTTTTAATTACTGTTCTTTTTACTGCTGGCAAAAGGTGCTGATTGGAAGTTCTGGAGAACTTTTCTTCCAGAAAACAAACTGAGTCAGGGGCATCCTAAACTCTCCTCAATACCCTCAAGAATGAAACATTTCTGACTCTCCTTGGGTAAGCAGGGAAAGTACAGCTGCATCACAAAGTGCTCTTTAAGTGCCACATACAATTAATTCCCTGGATTCTCTGCAAAGATCAAGAGAAACTGGGACAGAGTTGGCAGTACCTTGCTCATTGCTTTCCATGTCCACAGAACAGTAAGTACAGGCTTGCTCTGGAGTATTGGTCAGAGCAGAAAGCAGGAAACACATTTTAGAGAGACTTTGTGTTACCTGACAGGGTAGCAGCAAGCACTTGAGGTGGTAGAAGCACTTTGCTAAGAGCAGTGGGAAAACTCAACCCTTTAGTACTTTGATGGGACTGAAACTGTGCAGTGCTGAGCCCAGAGCTTGCCTGTGCTGCTGTCCCTTCCTTCCAGTTGGTCTGGATAGTGTTAAACATCACTAACAAGCTGGCCAGCTTCGTTTAAACAGAACATAACAACCAAACAATAGTTCAGTCTCCTGAATTAATCAAATGGAGAAGTGATACAGAACTACCTAGCTCAGAAGTATTTCTGTCCCAGAAATCATGCTGGCCTGTACCAACAACAAATGTTTTTCTGCTTTGTTTATCTCACCTGTGTTTGCTCTTCCCTTAATGTTACTTGCCACTCAAAAAACATGCAAGCAGTTGCTCTGCATCCTCTGCTTGTGCGGTAAGCACCAAACAATGGAAATTGAATATACAAGTATTTATTTTCATGAACTTTGGAGAAAAAGAATGCTTATGGGGGCTTTACACCAAACAAAACTGAATGTCAAGCAGAGGAAATGTCATAAAGCTGTATATTTTAATTCACAGGCTCCAGTGATAAGTGTCAGGGTTTGTTTTACCTTGCAGATGAACCTGGCCCACCAAGCAGAGCATTCCCTCCCTGTCACTGGGTGAACAGCTGCTGGCAAAAGGGCACCAAAGTATTTCCCTTCCTTGTCTACACAGAAGTGCCATTTGCACTACAGAACATCTCACCCATGAGGATTTTCATGTCTTTTCACTCATTAATCTTTCAAGTGACATCTTTGAAGTTATTTTAAGTATCATTTCCCTGCACCAAAACACTCTCTAGTGATTTATAATGTAATTTCATGTGAAGAATGACAATAGATTATGCCCAAAGCAATATGTTGTAGATCCAGAAGGTATCCCAACTGGCTAAAAAACAGGATATAGGCTTTATTTAGAATCCACTGGAGCCTCCAAGATTCCTTCACTTGCTTTTGATGCGCTTGGAATAAGTACACAAATAATTCCACAAATAGACTTCAAGCAGTTTCATGGATGAAAGAACTGGCACTGGATCTTCTTCAGGTCTCTAACAGGAGTGTTTTCCAGCAGAAGCAGAATCTACCTGGCTCTTCAGACTAGGAGTCCCTTCATACAAGCTCTCTTCTCATCACCGTAGCATTCATCTTTGACTCATGCAACAGGAATTAACTTTGAAGCAAAAAGGGGGCATGGAAAGTACTAACATTGCAGGTAGTTCCCTCTTAGTAACAGCATGTTTTTGCCTGCCATTTGTAATTAAACAGAGTATGACAAGCCTGGGAATGCATTTCAGATGACTCCTAAAGCAGTAAATGCCATTAGCCGCTCCTGCTAAGAAAACCCCAATTTTCACTTCATTCTATGTAAGTTTTTTCCAGTTTCAGATGAAGTGCTATTGTAAAAAGTGGTAACAAATTGTTTGGCTAACACTGCTGACATCTAGCTAAAGCCTGTCTGTGGAACACACTACTCTCAGTACTGCTGCTAATAAGAAAAGTTTACCTTCAAGTCAAATCAAGCTTTGTCAGAAATCCCACAACAGAGTGGGATCCAACACAATCCCAGAACAGAGTGTCATTGACAAAACATCAGCTGAACAGTGCTAGTCTCTTGGTTCTCTGCTGTCAAAAGGAGCGATGGAATACAGCTGTCCCTAATGAATTCCTATCAAATTCCTGAGGCAATGCTTTTCTGAGCTCCACGGTGAGAAGCAGCCTGAAGAAGAGTACTTCTCTATGTCCAGAATGACAAAACTTCTGTTCTGTATTTGACAGTGTTCTCAGTGTCAGCTTCACTGTTCCACAGCAATTGCTTTCCTAACTTGCCTTTCCTGCACAAACTGACAAGATGCAACTTTGCCAGTGTCCTATTTATAATCTGCCTCTAGTTGCAGGTAAATACTCATTAGGTGGAAAGAATTTTGATGGTTTCTGACATTTATATGGAAACTGGGCTGCACACCCTTCCAGACCAGCTCTGGCTGTCATGTCTTCATCAGAGAGCACTGCAGAGCTTTCAGTACAGGACCTGCCTTACAGTAAGACCTCAACAAATATTTTTATCTTGCCTATTCCACTCAGCCTCCATTGAACAGTATTATTTTAGAGTGATCCACTATTCCAAACAGAAACCCTCTGGCACATCCCCCAGAGTCAGTAGGACGACAAACGCCAAACCTTGGCCTCAATGGCAGTTTCTTTCCTTCTAAATCCTCCTTTGTGCATTGCATCAGGGATCAATTTCTTTCAAAAAAAACCAGCTTTCTTTTGGATAGCAGACCAGCTTTTCTGACTTGTCTTGTTCATCCAACAAGACCTAGCAGTACAAAGCAAATACACTTCACAAAAAGACTACTTTGGACTCCCTTCAAGACCTCCCAGAAACACAAGCCAAACACAACCTCCGAAGCATAGCCTAACCACCAAATCTTCCTCATATTATTTGCCAATCAAGCAAGTTACAAAGTGTGACACCATTTTATTTTGATTTAGATGAGGTATGTCTTCCGAGGGGAAATCATTTGATTGGAAGTGTCAATCCCAAGCCCATTACAGATACATTTTTTCAGGAGCTGTTTACCTCCTGGGAGCTCACATCATGCACGGATCTTCTTTCTCAACTGGTCACCGCTCTGCTTGCTAACACGACTGCAGGATACATACAAACTCAGACAGAATTTAAAAATAATACCTACCATAGTAACAACTGCCTTGAGCATCAGAAAAGTGTAAAGAAATTGTGCAACATGTACTTGTACTTCACAGCACCAGAAAATTCTGCCCAGGTCACCAGATACAGGGAGCCAAGGCAACAGTTAATTCTGGCAGGCCTTTACTGCCAGGGAGCCTGCAGTGTTACTGTGGTTTGTATCCATGAACAGGTCCTGCTTTGGACATACGGAAGTGGATCACATATCAAAAGTAAGAATTAGGGAGAAAAACCTTACTCAATAGAAAGTTAGCCCAATATATAAAAAACATACAAACGTTTAAACAGTTTAGAGACAGCAACAACAGGAATGATAAAGATTCCTGCCAAGGTGGCTGTTAACATCGTCTTTTTCCCCCCACCTTGTTTTGCACCTGCATCTAATAAACTGGTGGATGTGCTGCCTCAGCTGGCTGACAAACACATGGACATATGCAGCAACTTAAAAGCCTGCAAGCGTATTAATACAGTCAACAAACAAATATACAGAACTTTTACTGAGAGAAAAAGAATTTCACAAGAAAACCAGAACCCAGAAGGTCCAAGAGGCTCAGCACATCTCTGCATTTTAAAGTCTTGAGAGACAGGAGACCCCTGCCATCCATTCTTGTAACAGTTTCTTGTAACAGTAGATGCAAAGCAACAACAGATACTGGCCACTTGACTGGTGGTGTTCTTACTTTAGAGGGGAGGGGGAATGACACAGCCCTGCCTCACTGTGCATGAAGCAGCAAAGTTAGACTCTGAGGATCTCCAGGCAGTTGTTGTAGCAGATGGCTATCCAGTCTGGCTGGGTGGATGCCCACTGTACATTGTTGATCTCTCCCTCAGCTGTGTAGGCCAGGATGGGGTCCTCAATGGCACGAGGCATTTGCTGGATGTCCCAGATGAGAGCCTGGTGATCATCCGCTGCACACAGACAAGAAAGGCAAGTACAGAGTGTAACAGTATCTCCATAAGTGCCTACTGCAGGCCTATAGCATAAGGAGCCAGGTAAGAGATGGCTGTTCCACTCCTGATCCATATTCAAGCCAGATACAACACAACCGAGCTCCAACAAAAGAAACTTGGATCATTATACATTATCCAAGACAGAGCTGATAAACAAATGACCAGTGGAACCCATAACAGTAAAAAATGTTTTAAGAACTGGATTGCATAAAAGCTAAGGAGCATTAAAATTACAGGAGCTTAGCCAGAGTCGATGCACAGTTTGGGTACTGGGCTCACCACTTCCACACAATAAACTCTAGTAGGTGTGTATTTCTGTAACATTTTAGGAAAGTCACTAAGAAAGGGCTTCTAAATTGCAAATATTCTTTAGCAAAAGGCAGGCAGAGAACTGCATAAACTTTAGGATGAGGAGGATTTTGCAAATGCAGTGGAAGACCGTGAGATTCCCCTGTAGGTCACACTTACCCGCTGTACAGATGTGGCAGGAAGAGTGAGGTGCCCAGGCAATTCCATTTACACACGCTCTGTGGTTGTTTAACCTGGCAACAGGGGTGCAGGGAACTCTGACATCCAGAATTACAACCTACAGAGATAAAAACCAGCTACATTAATAAATTGAATTTTAAAAAATTAATTTATTCAAAATACAAAATATTTTGAGGTAAGGTTATAAACATGGCTCTTTCCTTAAGGATGTGGCTGGCAAGCAAGCCCTGTTCCTGAAGAACAGCTTCCAGCTGGTCAGTGTGTCATGTGTCTCAAAAGAAGTCAGACCTCACAGGGTGCTCCTGAGTTAAGCCACAGTGGCAAACAAATTGTGCTTCCTTGAAGCAGCCTTGGTAACAAACTAAAAGTGGCCTGGGAAAGAACAAGGTGACTAAAACACCTGCAATTAAGATTTTATGTGAAAATTATGTGAGCCCAGCTGTTCACAGGCTCCTCTTAAAAATCAGCTGAAATATATACAAGCCATAAAGCTTGAGTTTATAATGCCAAAGTCATGTCTTTAGCTCCTTAGTGCACTGAGAACTAGCCCTTAATCATACTTCAGGCCCTGCCACCGCCCCCTTACCTTAAATACCTGGGTATAAATTAGTATCAAGCCACCTCCCCCAGGAAATGCCCATCAGCACCTTGGGCAGAGGAGCTGCTGCCCTACCTCCATGCCATCCATGGCCATTGTGGCCAGGTAGTTGGGGTCCTGCTTGTTCCAGCAGAGCCGCAGCAGCGGGTGGTGCTGGGGGTCCTCGTAGATGATGGTGCTGTGCTCCAGGTGGCGCAGGTCGAACATCCTCACCGAGCCGTCCGCACCCACCGACGCAAACATGTCCCTGCCCCCGCCCGCGCGGCTGAAGGCGATGTCGTACACCTGTCCAGGGACAGCACAGGGACAGGGACCGCATGTCACACGGCCTCTCAAGCCTCCGTGCTCCCTGCAGCTGCTCCGTTATTACACTTTCCAAAAGGAGGAAAGACATGCTCATGTAATTACAGTGTCACTCACTGAAACTAAAACGATTTCCCAGACTCGGGGTTTTTTACATTAGTTGTTGAAAAGTAAAATGTTAAATTGAAAGAATTTTGCAAGCTGTTTAATGCCTTTGATATGAAGTTGATTTCAAGTCTAATTTGATGTTTTGCCTCATTTTTCTACAATATTCTGGAGCACAATCTGTTCTTAAGTCAAGAGTCTATGATAAGGTAAAAAAATTGTTTCAATAGCCAACAATATTTAAGTATTCAAAATTGTATATAATCTTCAAAAAACTGTATACAAAATACATAAACTATCTTTTTGAATCATTAAATTGTTCAAGAAAAAAAGGAGGAAAATGGAGAAGCTCTGTTCCTTTTCTACTGTTTTAAAAAGATGCAATGCAAACAATCAAAACCCCCATCACCTCTTTGTCATGTGCAATAAGCTGGGTCTTCACGTGGCCAGACACCAAATTTACTCTTCCCAGAACCTGTCCTGTCTCCAGACCCCAAATAGTGCAGGTTGTGTCAATACTAGAGGTACCTGAAACAAAACCACTTCTATTAGCAAAATTAATACTGTCACAAATGATTTAATCACTTCCTGGGTTAATGTAACATCCCCCAACACCTACAGATCAAAACAGCCATAAGAACAGCATAAAACTAAAATCAAGAATGTCAAACAGCCAGCAGTCTTCCATGCATTTAAATGACCCAAACCTTTAGGCTGCAGAAATAGCCTTCCACATAGGAATAAAGTGCAAATAGCTCATGTCTGCTTCAATCTATTCAGAAGCCTGATGTAACTCTGAGATCAACTTTCCCATCCTGTACATCTCTCATGCATGCCAAACTCCAAATTCAATCTGTGTTTTGATGGTGTGTTATTATTAATTGATTGCTGCTGTGGGCTGAAGGTGGGGTTAGCAGTAAAGCTCTTAAGAGATAAGACATGTAACACACAAAAAATAAATCATGTAGTAAATAATTACTATGACATATTATCACTGTTAATCTCCGAGCAAATCCCTCTGACATAAATGGCTGTTCTCTTCTGGGAGACAAACCTCTGCATCAGCCATCCTGGATTCACAATTTATCCTGTTGGCTATAATTAAACCTTAAGTCTTCAGCCCCCTCCTCCAACTGAATTAAGCGCTCTTGGCTCTCCTCCTGCTGCTGAAATGGCTTCACAAAACACACAGCCCAGTGCACAGTTTTATATCACTCCAGAACATTCTGAAGTCACAGAGCTATGCACATCCTTACTCAGCACTGCCAAAACAGCTCACCAGGCCTGAAGGCCAAGACTCCCTATCCCCAAATGTCCCTAGTCCAACCTGAGTGACTCATTTTGCACTGGACAGGGCACCTTTCAATGAAAAAAAAAAAAGTTTTTATTTTTTAATGTAAAACAACAGCAGTTTCTACGATGCAGCAGTCTGTGGTTAATTATCAGATTAACCAGTGGACATGCAATGACACAGCAGCAGTTACAGCCTAGACTTCATTAGACTAAATTCAAAAATGTACCAAAAACATAACATTTTGTCAGTCTCACCTAACAGGTAAGGATCCACTTCATTCCAGTCAAATGATGTCAGTGGAGCACAGAAATCTGAGTTCTTGTTGTTGTTCAGCAAACACTCCAACCGGGTCTCAGTTTCACCCACCTTTAGGGAAAATTAAGTATCTGACTTAAAAAACAACGTCACCTGACTTGTTCCACTGGCACAAAACATTAGGAGCTAATCCCAGGTTTCTTTTCTCCCAGCTTTACATCCTAAAGCTCTGAAAAACACAGCCACCACCTCCATTTTCAATAAGCTGATGAAAACAGCAATTGCCATGATAATTCTGCTTCTCTTACAGTCCTCATATAGTCATATTATTGCAGTGAAGAAAATCTTGTCTGGAGTAGAAAAGAGATCAATATATAACACAATTCAAGTCACGCTTCCTCTTTTCCTAGGGAGGATTTACTCACTCTCCACACTCGCAGGTAGTCACCACTGGTGGCCAACAGGTCTGGGTAAACTCCCTTGGTGTCCGGGATCCACATCAGCTTTGTGGTGGGGTAGGGGTGATCAAAGGTGTTCCTGCAAATGAATTCTGAGCTCTCTTCATCCAAACCAACAAGCTGCACCTATGAGAAACCATATTTAAAAGAAAGCATTTTATCAAAGTACTGATTTCTAATGACAGCATTAATACTGTGTTTCAGGACATCTTCTGTCACCTCAAGGACAACATGAAAGGATCATCACGTCAGTGAAATGAGAAATCATCAAAGCACTGCTGTGGCGTATAAGGGAAGTATCCATAATCACCACATTGATTTGAAGAGATGATCCCAAATGAACTGAAATCTAATCCCAAAGGATTACAGACCACCCTTCCCTTTTCCACACTGCAAAGCCCAGTTTAAATCACAGGCCTAAACTACACAAGCACTATTCTAATTCATCCTTAACTGAACTGATGCTGACAATGTCATCTTCAGAGTGCAAAAGAAGCTGTAGTTTGCACAAGTAAAGTGCGTATTATGGAATTTTATGCCATAACCCTGCAGACTGTGATGGATCATGTCAGGTAGTTGGCAAGCTTTTTCGGCTCCACATGACTCAGTATCTTCTGTCACAAGTGCATGAAAAACTTATAAATTAATCTCATCAGAGGAGAAAAAAAGTAAAACAGAATTCAAACTTTAAATAAAAATAAATATTGGGGAGCTAAAATGGTTACATAATTATTCAAGTGTTTTGTGTGAACAGACTAAGAAAGCAGGTCTGCTGAAAGATTCTAGGTAAGAGAGTTCCAAATTAGAATTTTTGCACGGTGATGTGTCAGGGAGAAAGGCTAAACTTGCCTCATTGTGAGAATGATGCAAAACAGAGCAAAGAAGAAACTCTCTCCACACAACCTGGTCATGACAACACCTGAAGTAATGCTTTAAGTACCAGACATGATCTTTTCAGAAAAATATGGACATGTCAGAAAGTGTGAAGAGAACAAAAGATGCTGGGAGGACTTGTTTAACCTGCAGTAACTACAGGACCTAAACAGGATGAAAGTCCCACTGTGAAATACTGCTCAAACACAAACATTATGGGGACAGCTCACTACAATTAGACTGTAAGCTGCTCACAGTAGGAACTTCCTCGTACTTTCCACACAACAACTTCCTCCTGGGAATAGTAGCTTAATGGACATTTTCTAAATGTTTATCTGAAATACTAAATTTATGCTTATCCTGGGATAAGCAATTTGTCTAATAAACTATACATTTTGACTAGATGGAAAATCTATCATATTTTTCCCCCATAACAGAAAACAAACAAATACTTCAGTGGATCTTAAAATCAAATTGATTTGCAGTTTTATGAACTCATTTAGAGATTCTCTTAAATGCAAACCTTGCCCCCTGACAATGAGAACTTCCATCCTTTCCATCCCATAACAAACACTAAAAGATGCAGCCAAGTATGCTTCCAAAAACTGAAATACAGCGTGTCTTGCTCTCTCTTTATTACAAGTACTCATTATCCTTTACACTCTAGTATAAATCAGTCAAAAATCTCCCAGACTTCTGAACTGATTGAGATAGTTTTCTAACTCCTTTAGGGATCAGAAATACCAAGCAGATTTTACGAAGGAAGCAAATTGTCCCTGGTGAGAGAAAATTTTGTAGCAAGGTTAGGATCAGAAGACAAATGAACTCTAATAATTTCTCCTTTGCTTACGTTGTTTTCTAACTCAACATGAGCTAATCCTACACAAAGCAATTAACACCCTCATCACCAGAAGAAATCTCAAACAGCAAAGGATCCCCTTTTACTGGTGCTAATATAAATACTCCTGCACTGCATACTCACATCTGACCCCTCCTCAGACCTTAAGATGAAGCAATTCAGCAATGCAGTATCTCTGATCTTTGACGTGTTGAGGTGCAGGCCGGGTTAGAGAACAGAATGAATGATGATCAGCTGGCAGGAGCTGCGGGAGGAGGCCCTGCTCTGCCGGGAGGCTGGAGCAATGCTGGGGAAATTCTCCTCTTCCCAAGCTCTGCATATTCAGAGCTGGGACTCTTCAGACCCAATCACACACAGACATTACAGAACCCCTCTACTCATCCTTTTGTGCAAGCTGAACACGAGGGACTGGAACATGAAATTATTTCTAGGATGCTGATTATACCAGAGCCCTGACTCTCCCTTCTGCAAGCAAGGCAAGAATGCTGCTGCACAAAGGAGTGCCTGAGGTATACCCCACATAACACAGAGGTAATGCCTATGGGAAAGTACCTGTCAGTCTGGGTACAATTTGAATCATTCTACATCTGCCTGTAAGTTTTCCAGTGAGAAAATGAGGATCAGTATGTTCAGTCTCAACTAGTTTTGTGATTATGCTATGACAGTAGCTAGGAATGCTAAATATTTGTTTCTCCTACACTTCAAGATAAGAAAATCAACATCTAATTTTAGCATATTATAATCCAAGCACTTATCAACATAAAGCATAATTGCAACAGTGCATGTCAGTAAAGAAGTGGCTTTAATCAGCATTCCTTAACTTCTAAAAAAATCCCATCTCCAACTTGATCCAGAAGAATCAGACAGAACTAAATGATACAGAATTTGTAACAGCTTCTTTTTCTTACATGGTTGGAGGAACATGAAGTAAGTTCACAGTAGTTTGAAAACCCCCAAAATGACAACCCTTTAATCTAATTAGTAACTACCCAAAATGACATTTCACAATTATTTTAGGGTCATGTACAATCAGAAAGATGTCACTGCACCAATTAATCTCCAGCATTCAATCAATTTTTCTTTGCAGTGCTAGATCTCACAGAACAAATGACTTTCTGGCAGAAGAACTGCCCTGAACGCTCCCCAGCTGAGGCACTGCTTGGGAGGAGGTGGAAATATAGGAAACAGCTGGTCAGAACCTGTCCAATCTGCTCCAGTGATGGAGCGAGCTGTGTACAGCACAGCCTCTACTGTCTCCTAAACTGGATTCCAGTTTTGTCTTGCAGATAGATCTCAAAAATCAGCCTTTCCTACTGTTCTCCACAGATCACTCCTGATCCATGAAGCTACAGCCAGGAGCATGTGCAGCGTTTTAAATAGTAACACCTATGAACACCGTTCCCTCCCATCATGACACTGATCCATGAGGGATTACAGTGGCTGACTGCAGTTTCCCAATCCAAGAAGTTTAGGGAACACCACCACAAATTATTTAATTCCTCTAACCAGAGCAAAGCTTCTGTCTTCTTGTAGCAGTGATTTGATCAGTGAAGGTGTACAAGCTGAAACAAAACTCACTGGGGTTCAAACAGGTCTTGGCAAGCAGCTTCAGTGTGTGCCACAGAGCCCATTAATGTGATGGCTGACAGGGTTAGAGGTCATTGGGAATTGGGGATCACAGTTAATTAGGGTTTGGCAACCAAGAGGTTTGAGTTCCCCATAAAAGAAAGGTGTAAACAGACAGTTCATGTAACCTGTAGTACTTCAAATGCCGTTAATTTCTACAGAAACAGAAAATCAGAGACAAATGAAACAAAATCTCTCACTCCCCTTATTCCCTCCCAGTGAACACTTCTGCAACAAACACTTGGGCATTGAGTCTTTTTAAAGAAATTCTAAATGAGTAATAAGGAAAAGGTATAGTCACTTATTTGGTTGGACCTTAAGCAAGCTACACTGTTCCAGACCGTTTTTGTTACTATGGCAGAAAGACAGTTATTTGGAAGAAACCACTGCAATATGAGGAACAGAAATGTTACTGGGACCTTGTCAGAAACATCTTAAAAAGAGAGAGCAAAGAGAAAGCCAAAATGAAAATCAGTTTTCATTATTCTTTTAATTAGTGCTAACTGTACCTATAAGCATGTTTTGATGACAGAAGCTGCAATATAAAACATCTAAACCATGAAGGACAAATTATATGCAGGACAAAACTTCACACGTACTCTGTAAAAAATCTTACATTTCTGTTAATGTCAGAAGTCAGGCTACAAACCCCACTGCTCCAGGCCCTTTGCTGGACAATATCAATATTTATTGGGAGCTTCTGTTTATTCCCTTTGTTCCTTTGGTTATACTACGTACAGGGACAGGAACTGGAAGAGTTTACAACTAGTGTGCAGGTAGCATAGTTTTACAGAACCTGTCCAAGAGTTTCCAATTTGAAGCATGGAACTATGCCCTGAATGTTTCACCATCCTCTAAAGGGCTCAGCACAGCTGAGAGAGTCATAGTAAGACACCATTAAAACAGCACAGACAAAACACCACTCCCAAGAGTATTCTGGTCCCCAAAGTAAAGGAGAAAACATCAATACTTTAAGCAATAGCAACACTTGAAATTAGCCAAGACAGCTCTCTGTTAACCATATTCCTACAAAAAGCACCAAACAAGAAAACAAAAATAGAAAAAAAATCACTCTGAAATATCAGAGACATCTTCAGCAAATTAAGGTTACATTTCACTGCATTGATTGTGCAGGTTTAATTTTTAATCAAACATCACCTTTATTTCTATAGCAGCAGGATCATCCAGACTTTTCTCATTCTCACACAATTAGTTTCCAGCTCTTTACACCACACACATCTCATAGCATGTGGTGCTTACATGGACTGAAGTTGACAGAATCGTTATTCCTGGAGCTCACAGGTCAAGAGAAGCCCTGGGTAATATTTACAGACTATGGTAATTTACATAGTCCTACATGATTTCTGTCTGCAACAACTCTGAGTGTAAAGCATAGAAGAGAAGAGTTGGCTCAGTGGCTTTACACTGGAAGCTTGAACTAGAAACAGATCTGACCATCCTGTAATGGAGAGCAACCCCAGGGAATGCTCCAGAATTAAAGAGGTATAGGCAACATAAATGTATAGCCCATTATTAACCAACTGTGCCACCTCTAAACAACAACAGCTAGCAGATTTGCTATTTTACCTTCTCAGAGTACAGACTACGGAAATTTTTCCAAGTTGGTCTTGAAACAAATTGGAAGTTTTCAAGCTCAGGCCCTGCCCGTCCCCAGCAGCATTCCCAGAAGCACAACACTCTCCAGGAAAAGGAGACAACTCACACAGTTGGCTGAACTACAACGTGCTCAGCAAAGCCCATGTCTAGGACTGCTGCAATGGCAGTGATCTAACCACTCTAAGAGATGTCACACCCTTGCACAGAGCCCCATCCCCAACACCAACTTTCTGACAGTATTTTCCACAATCTCCATTAAACACCTTGACAAGGCTACAAAACTATATGCTATAAACCATGCTCTACTGGCAAACAGTTTCAGTTTCACAGAAATTTCAGGATGCTCTATAACTTCATCCATCTCCTTATCTCTCTTCTATTTCTATGTAATTCATTATACCAGACCAGCACCTTGAAGGCTGTTCAGAAGTGACTGCACGTGTGTTCTGAGATGAACACATAGTCTCTATTACCAGTACGACATTCTTCACTTACACTCTGCAGGGAAACACTGAAGATACAATCTCATGCCTCATTACACATTTTTTCTCAGGGAAAAGTACTGAGGAATCACTGAGAGTGGTTTATATACTTATGAAAAAAGTTATCATACAGAGGTCCTCCACAGCAAGAAAGTACAATGAGAACAGCACCTTTCCAACACAGTCTCAGACACCCTGTACATCACAGAATTGCTAGGGTTGGAAGGGAACTCTCGAGATCATCCAGCCCAATCCCCCTTTCCAGGCAGGGTCACCTGGAGTAGGTGACACAAGGACATGTCCAGGTGGGTTTGGAATGTCACCAGAAAGGGAGACTCCACAAGTTGCTTGACCAGCCTGTTACACTGCTCTGCCACCCTCCATGGAAAGAAGTTCGTACTCATATTGAAGTGGAACTTCTTTATATCTATATGCATATATATGTACAAACTTCAGCCCTGGCCACGAACACTCTTTTGCATTGACCAACAAGCCAGATATGCTCAAGTCGGGGGCATTTGTTTTATTCCTATCATTTGTTTTATTTCTATAGCAGCAGCATCCAGACTCACACTCATACCTTTGGTTTCCAGCTTTTTACCCCATGGAGAACTCACAGCACGTGGTCCTTACGTGACTGAAGTCAACACAATCGTTTTTTCCAAAGCTCAGAGGTCACGAGAAGCCCTGCAGCAGCGATATCCCAAAACCAGCAGCACGCAGGGCTCTTCTCCTCACCTCCGGGCTCGCTAGAAGGAGAGCAGCCTGGAACGGGGGGGCACCTGATGGCTTTGCACAGCTCCGGGCGTCCGGGACAGGCAGGCAGGCGCCCCTCGCCCTCCCCAAGCCCAGGATGAGGCGGGCCAACCCTTGTTCTGCCCCAGTCCCTGTGCCCACCGCTGCCCACCTTGTTGTTGTACTCCTCTACGAAGCTCCCCAGCGCCAGGCGGAACCGCTTGTCGGGCCGGACGCTCCAGTTCATGGCGTACACGGTCCAGGGCGCCTCATATTTATAGATCTCCTTCCGCTTCCCGTGCAGCGACATGGCTGGGCCGGGGGGGCCGCGGAGCTGGCCCAGGGAGCCTGCGGCGGGGAGGCGAAGCGGGCCGGGGGGGAGG